CATCTGCATTTTATCTATTTTCCCACTCATTTCATGCTTATGATGTTTTTGTTTTGATCGCTGATTAAGCTCAGAAACTTCAAGGAAACAGTTGCCACTTTTTCTTTTTTCTTTTATTTTTTTCTCAATTTTCAGTTAAATATTCAATTTTTCTCAGCGCAATTTATCTGGGTATTTGTTTCATAGGTTTTCTTGGTTCAATATTTTTGGCTGCTTGTCCGAATAGTCGCCCAATTATGAGTGGTATTAATGGATTTAAAATTAGACCAACGAGGTTCTTGACAGTACCAAAATTGCCAATTTTCTAGCTCCAAACGTTTTTTATTGTAGCTTTTGTCTGCACATGTTAATCATTCTTGCTGCTGCTGGGATTGTGTACTTCAGTCACTTCTTTGGCTTCAAGGTTCAATTATGTTGTAATTGTTAGGTTACTTTATTATTTTGTTATTTACTTGATTTTTGTGTAATACGAAAATTTGTCAACTTGGGATCATACAGGCACATAAAAAAATCTCTTCTTTTGAGTAGAAATGAAGTAAATCATCTGCAGTTACTTATTCTTGAAGACTTTTGGATGTTTAGATTCTTCTAATTTCAGTACAACACAGTAGAATTTTTCGAGCCATCCATATGTTGTAGCTTCGTTTATGTGCTTTTACTTTCTTCTTTTCTTCCCCATTGCTCAAACAAATGAGAAGCATTGTAATCGTCAATTGATTCTCTTTCCACAATTGCTGCCGGATTCTTATATTTTGACACCCTTCATCATAAGTTTTACTTGTAACCCGTACGGTAATTTCTTTGAGTCCAGGCTGTCCTCCTAGTGCACCTCATTCTGGGGGGCCACCGATTGTCGAGCTTCCTCTTGGTAAGATACGGAGACCCCTCATGCGAACGAGAGCCAACGACCCACAAAAGGTGACAGAACTCATGCAGAGTATAAGTGAAATCGGGCTTCAAGTTCCTGTAAGCCAGCCCAGCATTTCTCTTTTCCTCTTCATTCTACTTATAACATATCGATCATTCCATCTTATCCTGTGTGAAAGAGCTGACTGCAGAATGCAGATTCAGTGATTGATTATACTTAGTTGTGTAAAATCTTCTAGGAAACTGGATACGGCACAAAGGATATAACAATTTATATGTCTTCGACGATTTTGTGATTACTTGTCTCCATAATGTGTTTGTTCAATCTTATATGCAAACCACTGTATCTGTTTTGCAGATTGATGTGCTTGAGGTTGACGGCGAATACTACGGTACATGTTCATTCATCTAATTTCTATCAAATAATTACTCATACTTGCAGATTTATAGACTTACATTCGACCATACACTAAGAGTTTACTCGTATGTGCCTTTACATATTCTCAGGCTTTTCTGGTTGCCATAGGTATGAAGCCCACCAGCGTCTAGGGCTGCCGACCATACGCTGCAAAGTTCGTCGTGGAACAAAGGAAACTTTAAGGTAATACAACTCGATGCATCTCAGGCTTTTCTCCTATATTTTCGATCTTTTTTTTCTCATTCTTCAGTATCAATATTGGTTTTCCTACTTATTTCTCATTCTTCAATATCAACTGGTTTAACCGACTGTGTCTAAGACCCTCTGAAGTTCGTGCAAGTTCATTTTCATGATAAGAAATGTTGGTATTGTAGGCATCATCTCCGCTGAACAGAACAAATACTCAACAGAGCAGATGATGATTAGAGGAAGCAGATGCATCACTTGAAGAAAAAACGAAACCTTTTTTATAGAATTCAACATGCAATTGTTGGAACAGTGGGATTATGTATTGTGTATGACAAATATTGGGCTTGTAACTAAATCTTTTATCGTGTTGAAAAAGCCAATATTATACTACATTGATTTGCACCAACATTAAAGCAAATGAAATAAAAACAACAGCAAAGAAACACAAAAGAAACTGCAAAGAAATACAATTGATTTAAGAGCTTAGACTACAAGGTATTTATATTGTTTGATAGAACTTCCTATCTTTGAATTTTAATTTCATTCACCGAGGAACTATCCATTACTTGGATACATTGATAAAGCTCGATAAACCTGTTGACATTGACTTCGACAAGCCCCCAGTGTAGGCTGACTTCAATTTTTCTCGAGTAGACCACAAAATTCTCTTACAACCCCTGATCCCTTGTTAAACCGCAAAACTCTCTTACAACACCAATCGCTTGTTAAACATCAATACCGGGAACATAAGAAGGAATGGGCGGCTTGGGTTCCCTGATTTTCTGGGCCAATACAGCTTGAGTGGTTAGGATTATACCAGCAACCGAAACCGCGTTTTGAAGGGCACATCTCGTCACCTTGCAAGGATCAATGACCCCAGCAGCCATTAAATCTTCATAATTCCCACTCAATGCATTGTAACCGACCCGAAAATCACGCTCTTTGATTTTCTCTACAACTACATCTCCATCTACCCCAGCATTATTCGCGATCAATCTCGCAGGTTCAAGAAGAGCCTGAATATTCATTTTTTTTTTTCAAATTAAACAAAATAATCCCCATTAGAGAATAAAAGAAAAGGGGAAATGAAGGATTTGAAAATGTAACTTTTTAAAATATGATATGTTTTGTTGAGATTAAGAACATGTAACAAACCATGCCAACAATGTCTGCTCCAATCTGCTCGTCAGGATCTTGAAAGGCTGCCTTAACTACGGATATATGCTTCGAGAGATGTATATAGGTGGCTCCACCTCCAGGCACCAAGCCTTCGGCCATGGCAGCAAAAGTGGCATTTTTAGCATCCTCTATTCTTAGTTTACGTTCTTCGAGTTCGATTTCCGTGTGGGCCCCAACCCTAATTACAGCCACCCCACCACAGAGCTTTGCTATACGCTCGCTCAATTTTTGTTTCATGTACCTACTATCAGTCTCGGCAAGTTCTTTTTTAATCTGCATAATTCTTGCTTGTATTTCGGGTTTGGTTGAAGAGTCTGCAACTATGGTGGTAGATTTGCTTGTAATAAATACTTTTCGAGCAATACCAAGCTGATCGGATGTTACATCTTCTAGTGACATGCCGAAATCTCCAGAAATAAAATCACCACCTGATTGCAATAATAAAAAGTGGTACCAATCGTGGAATAAAGTTAAAATTGAAGCATGAATATGTTTGAAACAACACGGCATTACAAAATAACAAAATATAAATGTTGAAATAAACAGAGCGGTTAATCACACCTGTCATAAGTGCAATATCTTGCAAGATGGCTTTCTTTCCCTCTAATATCCCTGGACATTGCACGACAGCAACATTCAACATGCCTTTTCTTTTATTCACAACTAGAGTATTCAGCACTGTGTATGCTACATGCTCGGCAAAAATCAGAAGGGGGACACTCAATTGTGATGCCTTTTCCAGCACAGGAACAATCTCGCTCACTTTGGATATCTTTTGATCGGTAATCAGAATTCTGGCATTCTCAAATTCCAGTACATATCTGTCCTTCTCATTGGCAAAGCCTGGTGTCATATATCCTTTATCAACCTGGAAGGAAAAAAAAAAATGGCCATCGAGAAATCAAGAAAATAATGAAAACTGAAGGGAAATATAAAATGCATAATGAGGATGACGACTAAATTAGTTACGTGATTGAGAAGCACTGAAAGCTGAAGAATAAGTCCAACATTAGTTCATACAAATTACCTTCATTCCATCATCAACTGTCACATAAGTCTGAAAAGATGAAGAAGATTCAATCGATATCACTCCATCGGGCCCAATTCTGTCTATGGTTTCAGCTATTAAGTGTCCAATCGATTCATCATTTCCTGCAGATATTGAAGCTACAGCTGCAGAACACACAAAAAAATGAAAAATATAATAATCCACAGAATTGATTGGATAATAAACAAAGAAACATGACGAAACAACACAAAACCTTTGATGTCATCTTTTCCTTGTACAGCATAACTTAGTTCTTTCAACCTATTGACCAGTTCTTTCAATGTTTTCTCCATTCCCCTCTTTAAAGCAACAGGGTTAGCCCCATTAGTGATAGCCAACAGTCCATATTTAATCATTTCTCGAGCCAAAACAATTGCAGTGGTCGTGCCATCACCAGCCGAGTTATTTGTTTTAGTTGCAACCTACAGAACCCATGATCATGATCAATGTGCCTTCATCGAGATTAAGTGCAGCATACTCTATTTCTAACGCGAGAATCATTGACTGACCTCCTGAACTAACACTACTCCAGCATTTTCAATCGAGTCAGAAAGCTCTATAGTTCGGGCAATGGTAACACCATCGTTTATCACTTTAAGTCCCTCAGAATCTGAAATGACTACATTTCTCCCTGCATACATTAACAAACTATTGGGGTTTCTTTTTTGACTTCATCGGAAGACAATGCTTTAAAAAACCCAATTTCAGAAAAAAAATAATGAGTAAAATTTAATTCATAAATCAAACCACCAAACAGAAATTACACGAAATCACAACAAGAAAAATCAAGAAAACTTAAATTAAGAAAATAGAAAAAAACCCACACAGACCTTTAGGTCCAAGTGTAACAGAAACAGCATCAGCAAGCTTGTTGACCCCAGAAAGCAAGGCATCTCTGCACTTCCTATCAAATACAATCCTCTTTTCACCTGCTTTAACTACAAGCCGCGTTTTTTTCACGCTTTTGCTTCTCCATAAGCCGTATGAAGTAGATTTTCCGTGCAACTCCTAAACAAAATAGAAGAAATGAGTTGGAAAAAGATGGAATAATAAAAATGGGGGAAAAAAAATGAAGCCAGTGACTTACTGAAGACGACGGATTAGGGCACAAAAAGAGTTGTGGAGAAAATTGTAAAGACATTTTGCGAGCTTTTGCAGAAGGTGATGATAGTTCCGGAGCTCTGGTGAATGGCGATAGGGTTTTGAGAGGGTTTTTAGGCGGATGCGAAAATTCGAAGTGAACAATTTCGGTAGCCATTGGTATAAGCTTTTCTGATTTAAATATAAAAATATAACTAGTACAAAATTAATGAAAAAATTATTCTTAAATTTTAAAATTAATGAAAAATAATTTAAATTTTATTTACATTTTTACAAAAAAATATATATATTAAATATTTTAGGATGACATTTTGTTACTTGTGCGACTTACGACTTACATGTGTTATATTATAGTAATTTTTAAACTCATATCATCTAACTACTTGAAATATAAATATATTAATATAAATAATTTTATTTTTCTAATTAATATTAAAAACAATTTTATTATTGTTTTAAAGATAAACATAATTATTTTTTTTATACATACAGTATCTATGTTAAATCGAAGCTCATCAAGATGATTAATTTGATATATTATATATGTTAAACTGAAAAAAAAAATACAAAAGTTATTAACTTTTAAAATACATTTATAATTCAATTGTTATAATAAAAAATGATATTAATATACAATTAGTGCATGTAAAATGATCATAAATAATCAACTTATTTATGGATAATCTGGATCTAGTTATTTTTTGATTAGAAGTAAATTAAAATATACTCAAACTTAATAAAGAAGCATGTAATTTTGTCACATAGAATCCCGAAACATGCGAGTCTGTCACTTAGGCTAATCACGTTCTGAATTAACATATAGGGGATTATATTTTTAGAGTGAAATCAAGTGGAAGTGGAAAAGACTATTTTTAGAAAATAACTAAATAAATAAATTGACATAAATTGGTATGAGATAAATAAAAATTATATATAAGAACTAAAGTTGATATAATATAAAAATAATAAATACTAATTTACATGATTGGTAGTTAGAAATATATAAGTGAATCAATAGTTTTGTTTTTTGTTCAAACATGCATAATTATGATGATTTATTATTTTATAGGAAAAAGCTACAATCCCATCACGAAATGATTCTGTAAGGGTTTTTAACCACTAGATATACATCTATTGTAGATACATGGAAGTTACATGTTTATCTAATGACTAAAAACCTTCACGGAATTATTCCACGCCGGAATTATAGCATTTTTCTATTTTATAATAGTTGTGGTAGGTAAAATTTGTAGAGAAAAGTAAAATGAAATGAATATCATTTTTGCAAAAATGTTTTATTTTCAATTTTGATGAGATAAATTTTGGTTGAACAAAAACTTTACAATGCAAAAACAAAATACTAGATCTAGACTATTAAAAAAAAAAATTGTGAATGATTGCTGATTAGTCAAGTTTGTGTTTGAGTCCAAAATTGACTCGAGGGTGGCATTGCTCTATTTTTTTTTTTTTTATTGCCACATAAGCTGACTATGTCCAAATTTAATTGCATTGGGAGACATTTTTTTATAGACTAAGCTTAATTCCTACATTGCATGAATTATTTTTTTAAGAGATCCTATGTATTGTGAGTGCTCTAAGCTCATTTTTATGAGTATGTCTTGCCTTCCAAATGTGCCCTACACTTGGAACCAAAAACACAGTTAAAAAAAAACATTACCTTTCATGATACAACTGTAAACTGTTACACATAGTGTATCTTTCTTAAACCGAAACGGTATTTCCAGAATACTTTATTTGTTTCCAGAATACTTGAATTGTTTCCCAATAAGAAGAAGAAGAAGAAGAAGAAGAAGAAGAAGAATGGTTTGCAGTGGTTTATATTTAAACACAATAATTGAAAAGAAAAATAAATGAACAAAAAAAAAACTCAAAAGAGGGAAAGGAAAGAAAGAGACGAGCAAGAAAGTCCTCTCCACAAGGAGACTTATTCGTATGAAATTGTGATTCCTTCTCTCTCTCAATGCTTGGCATCTTCTTCTTCGCAGAATTTGGAGTACTGATCAGAGTTCATCAAGTTGTTCAGTTCATTACTATCTTTCACCTCAACCTTTATGATCCATCCATCCTCGTACGGGCTAGCATTTACCTTGAATGGAGAAAAATCATAATCAACCACTATTTGCCAGCGTAAAATGCAAGACAAAAACGAGCAATGAAACTTAAACTCGAAAGTAAGCAGAACCATTTGTCAACTTGTGTAGCCAATTCAACTGTCAACAGAGACTACTGGAATAGAACAAACAAAAACAAAAGAAAGCCATTCTAAGTAGGCACAAACAAACAAAGCACTCTCTACTTCAAATTTTCTCTTGATTAACAGATTTAAGTTCTATTCTCCTCAATTTATGTTCCCACAAGACCCATTCACGGCAAAAAAATTGACAAACTATCTTTGCGAAAAAAAAAAAAAAAAAAAGGACTCACCAAACCAGGAGACTCAGTGAGTTTTGTGTTGACCTCAACCACTCTACCGGAAACAGGAGAATTAATGTCGCTAGTGGCTTTAACACTCTCAACGGCACCAAAACTCGAACCTTGCTTTACCTCAGCTCCCTCTTCAGGTAGCTCCACATACACAACATCACCCAAATGGTCCTGAGCATGATCAGTAATGCCCACAGTGGCAGACTCACCTTCCACCTTTACCCACTCGTGAGAATCGGCATACTTTAGATCTTTGATAACTGCAATAATTGTAATAATATAGATGATACATATACATAATCCACGCATAGTTGTCATTGTTTGAGAAAGATGGCTCCACAATTCATCCCATCACAGTGTGTAAGTAGTGGAGATCACTAAAAAAAATTTAAAAAATTACTAGTCCGAATCGATTGAGATAATTCATGAATTATGATACCAACAAAGAATGCAATTTTTGCAGAACTTAATGCTTCATGGATTACCATGAACTACAGTCACTCTCTCCGCTTATAAAGAAGCTTGGAAAAAGGTGAAGAACAATGAATAAATAAACATCAATTATCACCAATCGATCTCGAAAACCTCAAACGCAAGAACAAACCCAGAAAACAAAAAGGAAATCTTTTCTCCAGGAATAACATCAGATCCATATTTTTTTCCCTTTAAAAAAAAAAGCAAAAAAGCGCAAGAACAAAGCCAGAACCGAATATCACAAATCCACATCTGGGATTCATATTATCTGGCAACTGGGAAAGGCAAATCCAGTAAAAAACGTATAAAAAGATTAGATTTTTTCCGGACAAAAAGTTTGTAATCGGGGTGAAACGTACGTACCAGTGGCGAAACCTCTGTGAGGAACAGAGATCTTAAGGTAAGAAGCTGCCCTCGTCGCCCACAACCTTGTCGCCATTTTTAACCGAAAGATGGATCAAAACCCACCGCTTTAAAAAGCTGTTTTTTTTTAATGAAAGCTTAGGTGGCTGGCTGGCACTGGGGAGCTCTGTGACCGTCTCAAATTAGTATGGCGATGGGCTTGAAGAGAGAAAAAGGGGTTGGTAGGGTAATGATGGAGACGAGGCCGCGTTGGCGTTCATGCAGAAATATGACCGTCTTCGAGTCTAAATTATTTATTTTCCCGATCTTTATTAGTTGTCAGTTTATTAAGTTATTATGGTTTTCATTTATGTTATTTTTATTTAGTGGAGTAGTTATTTAAATAAATAGGAGTTTGTGGAGTAGTGGGCTCTTCCTATATGTAACCACACTCCTGAACAGTTATTTCCAATCATCGTATTATTATTCTGAGAAAGAAATCTGCTCTTGTGTTAGTAATTTCCCTTTCGATTACATCCTCTACATCAGTTGGTATCAGAGCCAAAGAAGGACAAAGTCGTGATCGATAACGTTGTTGATGAACGATTTCAGAGAATTGATGAGCGATTCAACAGTTTCGATGAACGATTTGTGGATCTTTCGACGGGCTTTGAGGACCTCCGACTGACGATGCACGACTTGATGGAAGAGATGCGACGAAGTCGCGATGGGGCTGACCGGGGCACACGCGGGGGACAGCGGGGAGGTCGTGGTGGCCGAGGGTTCGGCGGGGCGCCCCGCCGGCGTTCACCACTCCCACTCCAGACCGGCGACGACTCTGACGATACCATGACCGTCGATAATCCTTCCGCGGAGGGGATCCATCCGCGGGCCAGGGGCGATGGCGGCTTAGGGTTTCGGCAGGGCGGGGACCGAGGGCCGCGTGGAGGCGGGTTCCAACAGCGCCCGCATGGTCAGTGGCAAGCAGACGTAGAGGCGGAGAATTTTTTCCGTCGGGGAGGTCCGTTTTCCGACGACGGGTTGTGGGAGGAAGAAGGCCTGCGACGCCGCGACCGTGCACAGTCCGTCGACGATGAAGGTGAAGACGTCCCATGGCAGCAGCGACGTGGCGAGGG